AATCTTTAAATGAGTGATAATTTTGAAAACTGATTCCACACTCTGGAAACTATAAACTGTCTTCAAATGAACAAACATTCTATCTTAGCAATGCCAGACACGTAGCAGATCTGTAATTAATTAAAATAAATTAGAGGACAGGAAGTGCCACGGAGACAATTAGATCTTGCGACTGTCTAAATTTTAGAAAATATGGGAGTCACTGCTTAAAAAGGAATACGTTGTTTCAGCACTGGCTGTTCTCTGCTATCCATCTGCACTGCCATGGTTATAACCCTCAACAGATTAAAATGCATGTGTTCAAGAGAGCTAATAATTCTGCTGACATATTATAAAGATAAATGTATTAATATTTGCAGTAAATTAAGACCTGTAGATAAAGGACCATGGAAGAATCTCAGGAGTAGGTCAGTTTGGACATTGACCCATAAATGAGGCACGAGTCCAGAGATTGAATAATGAAAAGAAAACAAGTATTGGATTGCTGAACTGACAAGGAGTATAATACATGCTGCAGTGAATGAGATGTGTGTGAAATAGTATGTGATCATATGTCATCATCTCATAACTTAAAACATACAAAGTGGAATTGTATGGACATCCTTAGTTCTGGCACTTCCAACCATCTCTGTACCTGCAAAGAATCATCAAAAGAACAAGCCTGGTACAGAAGATGCAAAGAAGAGCAATACATGAATAGAAATTATCTTTAATAAAGATAAGCCTGATGACTCTCACAGGTTTGACTGAAGTTCATGAAGTCATACCTAAACTAACTTTAAGCCAGCTTGTTCATGTACAGCTGTGGCAGAACAGATATGGATTAACCGTTCAAGTATTATCCAGCTTTTTGCACAGCTTTTACAGCAGATACCGGCCTGCTGGCCTAGCTTCAGCTACCAACACGTCAGCTGGTAAGCCAAGCTTCATCTTGACATCAGAAACCAAAATGAATCCCCAATTTCACATCGGGTTCTGTACCCAAGGCATATCCTGTCATCCTCAAACAGTGGTACATTTGGAACTTTATCATATTATTTACTCCTGGAAGAATTTCTTTTCTTGAAGAGTAAATTGCTAATATCTGCACTAGGAAAAATGGAACAAAATATCTGTTGTGCCAACAGAGCATGAAGAAACATAATTTCATTTTGCTGAGAGGGACTGGAGAACAAGAATTCACAAGAAACAACTTGTTGCTCCGGAGATTTGTTAACTGCTAACTTGCCATGATATTTAATCGATATGGTGACAACGTGAAGAATTTGACCCACCATTTTCTTCCTACTCACAGTTTGGCTGGCAGAAAATGAAGATAAGTATTAACCTCTTTCCGCGTTTGAGTGTGCATAGATATTACAAGTGCAAGGTGGTTGCATAACAATGATGAAATATTTTACAATTCCTAGGCATTGCGTGGCCAGCTGTTTTGACATGCAATGGCAATTACCCTGGCATCTGTGTTCAGCAAAGGTGGATATGTCCTAATAAGCAGTGTAACAATTGAGCTGAGATTATTTTTTTCCTTTGTGTTTTGGATATCCACAGAAATTATTTTGGCAGCTTCCATGCTGTTTACATACTTTCTCCCCAAATTCTGAGTAAAGAAGTTGATTGTTTATCTGATTACAAAAAGGCAAAAACCACTATGTGTCTGTCTTCCCTGAATACAACCAAATGCTTCCCAGAAAGCAACTTTATAGAATATAGTTTAGAGGACATTCAGTTACGTTTGTGCGGTTCTCCCTCACTGCATCTGTGTTGCCAGTCTCGGATACCTACAGGTAGCCATCTCGTACAGCTCACATTCCCGTACCTCCCTTCTGTGTCAGCCATTTCCCTTTAAAATCAGATTTGTAAGTACACCCAATTCCCTCCTTCAGATTTTGCAACGAAGTCCAAAGCTACTGGTTGCCTATACACAGTCTGATGATGATTACTACTCACCTCAGAAGTACTGAAAGTATCGTCAATCTCCAGAGGCGCCAGGGGGGCATTTTATCTGTGCTGTTGTGCTGATTTTGTGTGTATTATGTGGATATGCCTATGCACATTGCTGATTACTCATCTATCGCATGCTTTAAAATGTATTTTGCTATGGTGAGTTTTTATTCTTTGACATAAGAAGAGAACGTAAGAAGAATAATTCTTACAATGTAAGAAGAGAACGTCAAAACAAGCATACCAATTAATGGGTTTAAAAAAAAAAAGAAAAGATGAAAAATACATCAAGTTCCCAAGTAATAGCAATTGAAAATCAGAATTCAGCAGACCATGCTAACCTTAACTTATTATTTCTTGCCTAGATTCTAATGTGCAACTAGCTAGTAAATAGTTAATTGAAATACACTCTGTCTGCATACCAATTCACTGTATTCAACAAAACGTTTTAATAGCTGTTTATAAAGTTTACAGTGTGGTTCACAATTTTACTTGATGATGGAAAAGAGAAAATACCATAACCAAAAAATCCCAGTGCACAGTGGAAGCCTTCTTCCATGTGGTGCCAGGTCACTTTTATGTTCTTGGCAAATGCTAGCAGTAAAAGTGCTCCCTGCACTATCCCCACAAACAATAATCTGATGAGGATCCACCCCGTTGTTTTCTGCAGTCTTCAAAAAGTGTGCAGTAGCAGTGAGACGGGCCAAAGTTTGGGCTGGATACTTACGCTCTGGAGAGAAATGATACCTGAAATGTGCAAAATGTATTTGTAAAGTGCTTGAATGTGTCATCTTAAATGCATCCATGGATTATATATTTGCAAAAACTCACCAAGGCCAGTATTACTTACTTCGTTTAAAGTTTTGCATGCTGAAGCAAACCAGAAGCTTCCCCTCCCATTTCTGTTAAACTACAGAGCCCATTAATCATTGAGGTTTATTCTAGCATAATTTAAGAGCATGAAGGCTTGAGTAGTGCAGTCCAGTGACCCACATTCTGCAAAGCCACACATTTACTCTGTTCCTGATCTGAGTGCACCTGCCTGGGAATCAGAGTTCAAGCCAGCAGGGAAGTCCGCGATGCTCTCATTTGGACTGACCTTGCATGTACGTATAGCTGTGAGTCGATCCTGCTCACCCACAAGATCCAACCGAGTTCTGGCTCCTGAGCTTTTTACATCACCGATTATCGTGTTATTATATATCAGTACAGTGTTGTATATTATTATTACATTTAAATAGAGTAATTCAATAATAATTTATATTATAAAACACCATCCAGTAAATGTACTGCGGTGACAAAATAGCTTCCTGTAGACAGTTCTTTCATTTATTTTATTAATTGGAACAAGTGAATTACAGAGGAGTGATGTTAAAGTAACAGTCTCTTTGTTTATTTCTTAGCTAACAACTTACTTTCATATGATGAAAAGCAAGGCAGGCATAACAGTCAGATCCCCACTCAAGTTAAGGTGTTGTAATCTGATTGCAGTGACATATAAGACTAGTTTGAGACTACATTTTTAACAGCCATGGTTCTTCATTCTCTGTGTTCGTGGTCTTAGGGCTTTCTGGAGAAGACTAAGTTTAATAAGGAAAAGATAAATACTACAAAGGTAACAGTGCAGGCGTTCTCTCTTAACCCTTCACTGTTTGCTGAGGCACACTGCTGCTGCTTTGCTGTTTTGTCACTATTCTGTGAGATTAATTCAATGGATTCATAAAGGAAACATCCTAATAATCAGGGAATAAAAGGATATCAATATCTTATTTCAGAGTCACTTTAAACACATCATGACTTACCCAGATGAGACACGGAATATGCCATTCATTCTCAAAACCAATTCCTGCCAACTTAATAAAATTCTTTAGTAATGAATTTTTTCATGGAACGATTTGTTGGAACCTGAAGCTTCTTTAGACCATCAGCTATTTCCTGTAAGCAAAACATCTTTAAAAGGAACCAGTGGTCCATGCAGTTTTTAAAAAAACTATTAAATTTTAAACTTATTATTTACTCTTTAAAATCATCCCCAAAGCCCCCTAAATATTAAAACCTAAAATTGGGAAAACAGTTTATAATTCCTTATTATTGAACCAAGGCAATGATTTTTGTGGTGATAACGATGTAAAACAAACAAATCTTTGTTCTTCTGAAAATAGCTGGCATACATATTACTTTTGTAACTTTGTAACACTGTACCAGGTATTCCTCATTGTCGTTTCATGGCACATGCTTGCTCACACATATCAAGAACATAGGGGTAGACGACACTAGAGCTCAGTTTCTTTTCTTGTATTCAAAGAACTGCACGTACAGAATGGGCATCGTTCAGGGGGCGGAGGGAGTAGGGGGGAAAGCAGCGGAACTATCTAATGCTGGGAGTAACGTTGGGTGGAGCTCACTTACCCAACAGACGCAGCCACTGAATCAGACTTTCTGGCTATGCACAAGCATATTCTTTCATGACTTCCTGAAGAACAAATGTTGTTAACATAATTAGTATCTTAGAACACTTGAAGCAATATCATCCCTTATTTTTTTATGACATATTACCATGACTGAGTGTGGGCCCCTTGCCCATTTAGTGAGCTACCCAAATTTTCTCTAGGATAAAAACAGTCTAGACTTTTGATCATCAGAACACGCTGTAAAGTTCATGCATTTAGGGAACTTGTTGATCTGTAAGGAAAATAAGGAATTAGTATGATGATTATTACTATTAGACAAGGGGCAATGGTTTTAAACTCTGTTAACAGAGTTAATATGCGATATTTAGATGCATATCTTCATAGTTCTACTCAAGTTTTTCCTTTCCTGAAAATCACAATATCCCAGAGCATGACAAACTCACCATAATTTCCATCAGACTATATATGCAATGATATAAGTGGAACTTTGATGGCCGGTCAACATCAGGAGGGATCTCTGCCTTGAAGGAATTATGATAAGTTGCAATTAAAACCAGTAATACAAAAGCAACTATAATTCCTGCTATTAAAGCCGGAACATAAAAGGATTCCATTTTTCTTTGGTGGGAATAATAGATTAGAGAACTGTTTGATATGATTCTGTCAATATTTATATCCTCCAGATTGACTCCACAGAGAAGTAATTTTCGTACCAAAATTCCTCCGCCCTCCTCCTACATATAAAGCTGCCAGATGCTAGAAGCATACAAACACCGGGCTATTACAACTTTATTTAGCATGGTCAAAGTTAATACATAGAAGACTCATGTCCAGGAAATGCCGTTATTTTGTATATTCCGAAATTGCAAATGAACGTTATTTTTTTATCTGGTTTAATTGTATTCTGCTTTATGGGCCTGAAAAGCTATGTGTGATTTTTTGCAAGTGTACTAGTGTGATGAACGACACTACCTCTACTTCAGAACCCAGGGAGGACTGGCAGTGCTGAACTCTAGGCTCCACGTTCAGGAACTGTAATGGTTCTGCTCTTGGAATAGGTCTGAAGGGCAGTTAGTACAAATTACAAAATCTAACATGTACTAAAATAACTTAAGCAATTGAAAGAAATATCACATTCTTGATGTTGCATCCCTTTGTCTGCATTCCAGGTAGCACCTACATGCGCTTTGAAAACCCTGTACTTCTGCTTATAAAGACAGATATTTTTGTAAGTATTGAATCTAGAAAGGGATGTCATCTAGAATTTAGAATTACTCAGTAAGACGTTTGTTACATCTTTATTCATGATACTGACGTTGTGAGAGCCTGGGAAAGCAGTAAGACATCCAAATGTAGCTTTTCGCACAGGGCTGGATGCAGACTGCTTTCTGTCAAGGCTAGAAGTTAAACAGAAACCTGGTCCCTTTGAGCTTGGGCCATGGCAAAACTCCACTTACAAGGCAACAGTATCAGACTCTTAATACTTAATAGCATATAGAAGGACAGCGTGAAATCATAGAACCACTGGGACACATTTCAAATGGAAAATGTGAACTCAAGGGAAGAATGAAATCAAGAAGCACAAAGATTTACTCTTGATTTATCCAAATCTGACAGCAGTACTTCATGTAACAAAAACCAGATCAGCTTGGCAAAAGGTTTTCCGTTTTTTAAAGGAGGTTTAGTTTTAATCTGTGATCGTGATAGATTGTCCATGGTCGGGAACCCTGCACTGATGTAAAAAACTGGTATTACTTGACACCCTGGTAACACAGACTTTCCATTGTGTAACAGAGCTGTTCTGTGTTCCCAGTTTTTTCACATCTGCTTACCAATATACTGTTGTATATATTTGGGTGGGGTTTTCTAGGGTGAAAACACAGAATTGTTAGCCCAAATGGCTTTCAGACTTGCCTTGAGCATGCTTTTTAATTTCCAGCTCCTTTTCCTTTCAAAAGTTCTTGCAGTTTAGCAACTTCATTTGCACAAACAGAATTCCAGGTGTGCTAGGAACTTGACTGCAAAGGCTCCGTGAACAAGTTTAGAGCTCTGCCAATAGATGTAGGTGCGACAGCAAGATCTAAGCATTCAGACGCTCTGCCTGAGCCTCTTCTTAGATCCATGTGACATTGTTCTGCAAAAATGGACCTTTGTAGTGCAAGCGATATGTACAGAGAGTGTATCAACTTGTTTTGGAGGTAAAAGTTGCTTTTTCACTGCTGTTTATTTCTTCAAGACAGGGCAAGTATGAAAAAGGATGTTTCTATGACTGTCATTGAGAGTATGAGTAAATCTGCATTAACTAATATCCAGAAGCTGGGTTTCAGTTACTATAGGCCTTCCTAACCTACCTTTACATCAGCTAGCCTAAACATGAACAACGGGTTTAGTTTTAAGCTGGACTATTACCGTTAGGCACTATTGTGGTTAAATATTCAGAAAGCATAAATGCATCTTTTGGGCTATGGTCCCAGGAATGGGTCATTCAGGGATGATCTAAATTTAAACCTATTATTTCAGAATAGATTCGTAAAACTGTATTAAAGCCATCTTCCTTTACGCTTCTGTGTAAGAAGTACAAACCCAGAAATTTAAACAGACAAGCGGAAGCCAAAACTGAATGAGTTACTGCTGAGTTGTATTACATGACTGCCTTCTTGCTCTTGTTGCAGACTGGAATAAAACATAGTCTAAAGTGCCATGAAAATGGCTTAAACCAAGTTTTTGGGGTTTTTTGCAATTTATACAAATAGTTCAGTACTGTGCAACTATCCAAAATGCAAAATTAATTCTGCAACTAAGTGCTAGCATTAGCAACTGATGCAATTTTACAAAATTAACAGGCCTGCTTATTGAATGCTCCAGTGCGCTGGTTAAGGACTTCTGAGTAGAAGGTTACTACTCAGGATACTACTTTTTTGCCACTTTTCAGAGTGGAACTGCAATTAAAAGGCACAAACCTCAGCTGTTCTCAGTGTTATATATAGTACATGTAGAACTTACAGCTATTTGACTTTCTGGTTGAATTAGGTGAATTTTAAAACAACTTGCATATATTTTTCACCATATTTATTATAGGCAAGATGCAGTAACTTTGGTTTTACTGTAAGTCCGCTTTTGCTTCTTGCTTTTGTACATTTGTACAATGTAGTAACTACTGGTTTTCACTGCTTCAAGGCAAATCTAAAGTAGTAAAGAAGTAAAATAGTTCATACTTTCATGAAATTTGAAGAGCAGGTTAGGAAAATTTTAAATATCTAGAACTATCTTTTTACTCCCACTCCAGATTTGGTAGCAACTTCGCACATAAATCAAAACTGAAATTATAACAGATGAAAAAACCCTCTTCTGATACATTTTAGATTATTATTCAAGCTGGAGACAGATACATGAAATCAATATTCACAAGATTATTCCATTCCCACTGGCTTCAAAGGACCTGCAAATGTTTTAAATCCATAATTAATTTTGGTTTTAATCTGAACAAGTTAGCTGTGTAATATTGCTGACTTTTCTATTTTAAATGTGTCTGTGGTGATTTATGCATAAAGAGACTGAACTCAGGAATCAACAACTCAAATTGACTTTGATGAACTTCATATCCTTTCATTTTTAACACTGCTGCTTATTTCTGTAACAGAAAGTTGTTATATTTGTTACCAGTCCAGACACTGAGTCATTCCTGTTTAAACCAGACACTAGGCTCTCTGTGTAATTTCTCTCTCCCCTTCAGAGTTTTTGGACTGAGAGGAAAATTGTAATGCCAGGTGCCTCCCCTAGCTCCATTTCTAAAGGTATTACTGTAAAAACACACAGAGGTGCTAAATGCTGCCAAGCGGCAAGGGAAATTCTCTGAGCTCTGGTTATTTCAGATGCAGCTAAGTCAGGGAACACCACCTGATTTTCTGACAATATGTACAGACTTACAGTTTCCAGTTAGAATGCTGCTTCATCTTCTTCTCTCCAAAAACCTCTCTCCTGACACTTTATGGTGATGTAGTTCTAGTCATATGGCTTATTTCATGTGAGCATTGAAAGGTAAGAACTCTGCAAGTTTCCCTCTAAATTTTATTTTCTTTTTTTCTGAAAACTTTTGTGGAACTTTTAACAGAGCTGAAATTCAAGGATTTAGATATTGTTCCTAATTTGTGTTAAAAAAACTATGTGCGATACAGGTTTTAAATGCGTGTGGCACCAGAAACTCGGTTGCTCTTCTTTTTGCAAATAACCCCTGAACACTGTTACCGTTTGGCCTCTTTGAACAATGCCTGTTTTCAAAAACATGTTTGATTCCAAAGCGTAAAATTGGATTTCTTTTCAGAGGGATTCAGCTTCCTAACTCACTTCTATTGGTGGTGTAATACAACTTGGCTACCTATGCGTAGACGCTTAGACCCTACGCTTCCATCGCAGCGGTGCTTTAGGAGCCGTGGCTGAGGTTGTCACTTTTCGGTAATTGTAGTTTTTACCACTAGATGGCTTCCCAGGATAGTGCATCCAGAGCCTCACCTCCTGGACTACCCTGTGGGATTGGATTCATTTTGGCATATTCTTGATGATCTATAGTCATAAAAACGAAGTTCTTTCCAGCTCAGCTGTGAAGACAGCAATGTGCGTTTGACGTCCCTGAGCATCTTTTAACATCCTCAAAGCTTTGCACACTAGGTTATTTCTGACTGCTGCCACAACTAACTGTGCATGCACAGCTCTCAGTTCAAATGTGCGCTTAGGTCCTCCTCAGAAATGCTTAATCAGTGCGACTGAAAACATAACTTACCTGCCTAATGCTTAACAGTGCAAACAACCAGGCTGGGGGACCTAGTTGCAAGACACTTTGCCCTTTCTCCTGTTACAACATAGTTTAAAGTGCTATGGAGACCTTCTTATGTTGCAACCATGCCCTTATAACTGGACAAAAAAAAAAGTTGTGGAAAAGGGGAGGGAAAAAAACCCACCCTTTGTTGTGAGAAAGTGAGTCTCCCTCCTTCATTCAGAGCCTGCCCTTTCTATTGCCCCGCTACTAAATCACCAGTGTTCAGCAATGCGAGCATCTTCCAGCCACGAGTTGTCACGTTGTCCATGAAATGTTGGTCCAATGGTAATAGATTTTGATGATTATCGGCCTAGGCTGGATTCAACCTGGCAATCTAGGGCTGAAAGAAGTTTTCCTGTCCCCAGCAGCTTATCTTGGGCAAGCAGTTCTCTGCCAGAGCTCCGTAGGGCAGGGATGGCTCCCTTGGCCTCAGCCTTATCCCTGCCTGTTCCTGGAACTGCTTTTCCCTGGGCTCAAGGCAGACCACAGCACCTTTCTGGTGCGGGCACGTTGGGGAGGAGGCAGGGGTTGCCTGGCTGGGTTGCAGTGGACTTCAGGTAGAGCTGCGAGCCCAGGGTGGCATGCAGTGAGCCCAGCGTGGCACGCAGGGAGCCCAGGGTGGCACGCAGGGAGCCCAGGGTGGCCCAGGGTGGCACGCAGGGAGCCCAGCATGGCACACAGCGAGCCCAGCATGGCCCAGGGTGGCACACAGCGAGCCCAGGGTGGCACACAGCGAGCCCAGGGTGGCCCAGGGT